ACATGGTCCAAATGTGGCCAACTGGCTGCCAAAATCATTGGCCGTATAGACCAGTGGCCGAATTGTCCAAGCGTCGGGAATGGTCTCCTCGGGCGACTGGTAATGGGTCACGTGACCGTCCAAGTCCCGTGACCACGGCAGTCAGACGGAGCGGCACATGTCGCGTGGCTGGGTGTCTGTAGGGTGCTCCGGGGGGCACTGTGTAACAAAATATTGCTGACACTTTGCCTGGATTATTACCGTCGAGAGTGCCGTTAGCTAACAATTAGTTAATAATCACCCCACCAATCGGCGTGCGAAGGAGCGCCGCACCCCTCCCCCCGTGTGTGTACCGCGCGTGTAGGTATACGGTGTGTCGGTGTGTCCGCCCTGGGATCGACGGACCGCCGTGGGGCGGCTGGAACTTGCCCGCGGCACGACACACGGCCAGGCGCCGTGAATCACTGACGGACAGTCAGCGGGTGTGGCACTGTGTCGGTCAGTCCTATACCGAGCCCGGCCGGGCCGGGGAGGGGGGAGGGGGGGGGGTGCTCTATTCCGGTGCCCCATTCCGGCTGTATGTATTTACATAGGCCGCTGTCACACCACCGCCGCGCCTCTGTGACGACCTCCATCATCGCAGCCATTCGGCCGGCCGACACGTCCCGACGATGCTGGTGGCGCAGTGCAGTAAATTGTTTATGACCGGGGGCTGGGAGCCGCATCCACTCCAGGTGCCGGCGTGGTGTGCACACGACCGCAAAACAAACACTCCGGTATACGCCGCCGGCCTGTGCGTCCCGCTGACTGGGCGGTGACATTCTCCCCCGAGGACGGTGATACCGCCCTGTGTCAGCCCTCGCTGACACACGGAGGTGACATTCCTCCTCCCCTGAAATGTGACACCGCACCGCTCTGCGTCAGCGTCCCGCTGAACTAACGATGACCCTCCCGTTCCCGGAGGAAGGCATCCGGAACGCCGCGGTATGAGTGTCAACGGCAGTGATGGAGATGGGTCTGTATAATGGTCCCGCACTCTGAAAATAGGCCAGCGTCAATGGGGATTTGACCCCCGAGCTCGATAAATTTGGGACTTGCATTGTTCCTGAGAGACAAAATCATCGACCGGCGCTTTGGCCATATGATGAAATGCCGTTGCGCTTACCGCCGTAAATTTTTGCTCCACCAATTGCAGCCGACTTGGTGAGCGACCTCCTGGAGTTGTTGCTGTTGCTCAAAGTTCCGCGCGTCGTAACTGGCTTACACCGCACCATGGGGCTGGCCCGGAGCGGGAGACTTTCTGCCTCTATTCGGCGGAATTACAGCAACTAAAACTTAGGACCCGGTTCCATGAAAATGTGTGCAGTATTGTGCAACTGTCCAAATGGTACAACAGTTAGATACTACCAAGAAATGTCTCCAAGAACCAAACTTTATATACCTTTGAGCTGGGAATTTAATAGCATCTCTGAAATGGAGACAGGTTTGTGCAGACAGACAGGTTTGAAGTTTGTGCATTCATTTATAAGTTAAGATGTACCACATCCTTAATTCATATTTTATTTTGAATGGTTTGCCGTCCAGTGTTGCCATTATTCCCGTTTTCGTTATACTTCACAACTAAGTAATTATTCGATCCTGCGCACGAGTACCAATATGGATACCCATTTATTTCAAGTACACAAACGACAAAACAGTGCAATTCAAATCTTTATATCTATATTTCGCAGACGTTTCAACGACAAGGCGTCTTCGTCAGTGCAAATGAAGTGAAACTTAGTACATATGTTTAATTAATTAGCATATTCGATAGCATATTCAATAGGATATTCGACAAATATTCGATAAATTACTATACGTATTCGTTCAATCGTTCACATGAAAATGACACAGGATACATTTACCTTTACCCACAGAAACACATCATTTTTGGAGTCCAACCACGTTCTAGACTGTGTGGTCTCCCTCCACTTGTACAAATACATTTAAATATCTATCGCCATCTTTGCTCCGATCTTTGCCCACGTAAAGAAGCCCGATTTTACGTTGATGACATCATTTAACATAATATGTGCTGCTTCTTTTGCTTTACGAACTGATTTTGACATTCCTTCCTCGATGACGCCCGCCCTGGACCAGTCAGGCAGGCTTCCACACTTGTCTATGTGTGGAACGAATGCGTTTTTTGAGTCGTGATTTCGGACGTCCCGTTTGTGCTCCTTCAGCCGTGTTTCTAAGCCCCTTCCTGTCTCTCCTATGTATGATTTCTGACACGGGCCAGAGCAGGGAATTTTGTAAACCACGCTGTCCGTTTGTTCCTTGTTGTTGTGTGGTTTGGTCAAACTTTAACTGTGGATGGCCACGAGACTTTAATAATGAGTTGCATTCTACCGAAGGTCGCTTCGCTTTAGATTCTGAACGTGGGCACAGGCGGGAAGATATTTAATGCCTGTGGTTATCGATAATTGGAATGAATGATGAATGAATGAATGAATGAATGAATGAATGAATGAATGAATGAATGAATGAATGGTTGGATGGATGAATGGATCGCTGGATGGACGGATGCATTTATGATTTTATACAAGGTAAAAGGCAAGTGATGTTTAAGCAACCACATTGAGAATGAGTGAAGCAAATAGGTAATAAATATAGATAAACCAAATGATTCCTGTTACATACAGGCATGCTGCCCAATGTCAAAAATACATGAGATGGAGAAAAAATTGAACATTGGTAGGCACTCAATACTGGTAAAGTGACATACCCCGCAGTGGCTCAAATATGTATAGGGGAGACCATGGCAAAGCGGCCACCCTAACGCTTCTTACGATACCGACGCTTGATCTTTAATTAAACTTAGAAAGATTCTTTCTATGCCAATGTGATCCCTATTAAATTGGCTATATTTCAAACCCGTTTCATTTCTAAAGGCGCTCACATATAGCAGATATTAGTGGGGCAAAACGCATTAAAATTGGCAGACGACGTATGCACGTTAACCCCTCAATTCAGCAATGACTATGAGAACACTTAAACAAACTTCCAAACGGTTATGGCATAAAATAACGTTTAAAAAAAGGCGTAACAATATAAGAATAAAAAGAAAAACCTGGGAAAATATGTCATGGAAAATGGCGACCGGTCTGGCTCATTCGAACAACCGCGAAGAGAAGTATAATTGGCAACCATAAACTGGAGCTGAAGCCAGACGTGCTGGGCTAAAACGAAGGGTGACTGCTTTGCCCCGATCTCCCCTACAGCGATGCACTTATCAGCAACATCCTATCACACTTATAAACATCAGGCCGGTAGTCATTGTGTGACGTAACTGCTCAGTGCTCAGCAAGGCCCTACATACCCTGTTCAGTATACGGCGCCGTGCAAATACCGCTGTGACAGATGGTTGGTGCCCCCGCGGCCACCAGCGCCTTGGCGGGCAACTGGCCAGCTAATGGATCATGTCGCTGTGATTAGTGCTGCTGGGGTCACGTACTCGGGCTAATGGAGCGTAGCCAGCCAACCTCCCGCCGTCGAGCGTTATGATCCGATCATCCGCGGACAGGTGTGCCGCGGTCGGTCGACCGAAACGACCGTGTTCTTTCGACAGATTATCCCTGATGAGCGATAAGTAGTCACTGACATCCATTCCCAGCTTCTTCCGCGTCCATCTGACATTGACAAGTGCTCTTATGTGGCGTGCACTCAACTTATATGGGCTAATGGACGGCATCTTTTTCTTTAGGTGGCCATCCCATCCCGCTCTCCCGTTCATCTATCGACGGGCCTGGTCCGGCCGGTCTGCCTTCCAGATCGCGGAGCTGAGGGTCAGGTGGTGAATTTGTCGCAGAGTTCCGGCTTGTCGCCAAGTTCCGGCTTCCTTTTCGGAACTGTCATATCGCAGACAAGCAATGGACGCAGCCTGCTTGCAGAACAAATATTGGACATTCAGCACTATCCCTAACAAAATAAACATCCCGACGGCAGGGACAACAACGTTGAATAGGCAATCACCGGCTGAGGTCCGGCTCCGCCCGGCTGGGGCATACCTTTCTCCGCCAGAGGGGAGGGCCTCTCCGTCACTGACCTGTCGAAGAACGCCGCGTGCTCCTGTCGCCGTCGGTCGGAGCGGATCACCTTGTCGGTGGGCACGCGGTACTCCTCGGCCAGGTCGGCTGACTCCCAGGACACGCTGCAGTCGGAGAGCAGGCGCCGCTCCGCCATCGGGCGCCGGGCGCTCCGGCGGTCCGGGCAGTCCTCCGGGCCGGGCCGGGCGGCTGGGTTAGTTTGGGCCGGGCGGTCGGATCAGTCCGGGCCGGACGGCCGGAACAGTCCGGGCAACTTCCGGCCTCGCACCGGCTGATTCCGATTAATGCTAGACCAGGTTATGACGTCTAGTTTACACTCGGCCACCTTTCGTCACTCTCCCGCTATTTCACCTAAGTGGTATTCAAGTGGATGCCCTGACCCCAGTCAGCCACCGTTCCCTGCCTCGTCCGTCACTCCCCGCCCGCCGCGCCGTCCGGCGGAGTCGGTCCGGTGGTGCGGCCGTCGCCGGCCGGTCTGAACTCCACTGCAGTGCAGACGTCGGCCGGCCAGCACCTGTGGAGGGCCGGCCCCACCAGGCGGCCCCGCCCGGCGCAGACGCGCTTCTATCGACCAGCCCGCGGTGTTCGGAGCGCCGCGCGCCCGGCCGGTGCCGCCCGCCGCCCCGGCGCCGTCCGCGTCGCTCCCGTCGCCGCCGCCCGCGGCAGTTCGTCGGCAGAAGCGTCGGCGCCGGCAGTTTGCGTGACGGCACACCACTCCCGGGGCTCACCGATTTGGCCAGCGTCCGACGCGTCCGACGTCCGCTCGTATTTCCGAGATCCGCTCGTATTTCGTAGCGATACGCGGCGCGGTCCGGGCCGGTTGGGCTCTTCGCCAAACGTCCCTCCACCGACACGGAGTGTTGACGCCGCCTAAAGCCGGATCTGTGGTACCGAACTATGAATTATTCAGGTCTTTAGCTCACTGTCGGTGAATAATAGGCGTTCGGCGTGTATTATCAGACATTAATGCAATTACACATGCTGGATAAGTGACCCGTTGGTGGCACCGTACAAATATCGACATCAGTCAAAACACAGCGAGATTGGACCCTCGGTTTTGGTGTCGGGCACACCCGGTGACTCAGGCGACTAGCCTGACATATATCGCGGACATAGCTCTGTCACCGCGGTACCGCTGCGCTACTGACGAACCGTTCTAGCTCCGGCCTCCTCCATTTATCACAGCCAGAGCCGCCGGTTCCGGCACGCACGGTTCCGGTCCCAGGCCACACAGTGACCGTCACTGACCCTTTGTAGGGAGAGGAGGGCAGATTCCGGCAGGTCAGCCCGGCCCGGCTGGCAGATGGCACTAAAGGTCTCCACATCGGCGTATGGCACTGCAGGTCCCTGTGACCGACAGTTGGTTCTGCAGTTCCCTGTGACCGGCTGGTGGCGCTGCAGGTCACTGCGGCAGGTAGGTATATGGCACTGCAGGTCCCTGTGACCGGCTGGTGGCACTGCAGGTCCCTGTGACCGGCTGGTGGCGCTACAACTCCCTGTGACCGGTAGGCGGCGCTGCAGGTCACTGCGGCAGGTGCATGGCACTGCAGGTCCGTGTGACCGGTAGGTGGCGCTGCAGGCCCCTGTGACCGGTAGGTGGCGCCGCAGGGCCATGTGACCGGCTGGTGGCGCTACAGGTCCCTGTGACCGGTAGGCGGCGCTGCAGGTCATCACGGCAGGTATATGGCACTGCTGGTCCCTGTGACCGGTAGGTGGCGCCGCAGGTCTATGTGACCGGTAGGCGGCGCTGCAGGTCACCGCGGCAGGTGTAAGGCGCTGCAGGTCCCTGTGACCGGTAGGTGGCGCTGCACTGACCCCGTACCCCCAGTCCGTCAGGTGCTGAGCGCCGCGCGGCTCAGCGCCGCCAGCTGCTCCTCCTTTCGGCGGATCTTGTCCTCGATCTCGCGCGCGTCCTGGATCAGCTTGGCCTTGGTCTGGACAAAGTGCCTGTGGTCGGCGAGCTCGTCGCTGCTGAGGTAGCGCTCCAGACAGGTGTCGACCAGCTGGCGGCGCCGGCGGACGCCCTCCTCCAGCTGGCGCGCCTCCGACAGCTGGTCCGACAGCTTGTCCCGCTTGCTGGTCAGCAGGGCCTGGAACGGGGGCACGGCACGGTGACTGAAAGGAGGGGAAACATGCTGGGCCAACATGATAAGCGATGTCCCGAGGAAATGTAAAAAAGATGCAGAATCTGAAAAGCCTTTCGGTCTGCTATTCCAACATGCTTTTCCGAGCTGAAAATCAGAATCTGAAAAGCCTTTTGGTCTGCTATTCCAACATGCTTTTTCGAGCTGAGAATCAGAATCTGAAAAGCCTTTCGGTCTGCTATTCCAACATGCTTTTCCGAGCTGAAAATCAGAATCTGAAAAGCCTTTCGGTCTGCTATTCCGAGCTGCTTTTCCGAGCATTATTCCCTTTTTAACCCGCGCCCCACTGGGGGGGGGGGGCTATTCATAGCCCCCCTCCCGTTTTTCTGCAATAACTTCCAAACCACTTGACGTATCGACGCCAAACTTTCCGTACCTTCGGCTGCATCAATTGGACACCTTGTGTCAAAATTTGAACTTCGTAGCTACCATAGGTCGGCCGGAAATGACGTCAGAGTGACGTCATGTTCGGCCGATTTCGACGCAAAACATTGAACCACGGCAATCGCTCCCAAGAGCTCAGTTTTTAGGCTAGATCCAATTTCTTTGCCTGAAAGGACTCAGAATTGACTGCGCTATCAAACTGCTATCTCGGATTTGCGAAATTTTGAAAATTACGAAAATTTTATACAATAATATTCAAAATTTATATTATATTTTTTTTTTTCAAAAAGTTTTTGACTTTTCGAAAAAAAACGGATATATATGTGACAGTCACAGAACGCATGCTTATGACTAACTCTAGCAAGCTTTAGCTAAATGTCTTCAAAAATGGCCAAGTTATACGCATTATTGCAAAAAAATCACAGTTATTAATTTTTCAAATAAATTTTTCAGTACGTATTTGACATTGTACACCAATATAAATAGCACCATTGTGTTCCTGAAGTCAAACTGCATCCAATAGACGCCTTTTTTGTTGAAAAATTTTAACTTCAAAATTTGACCTTTTTTGACCTGAACGTGACCTGACCTAAGCTAAATTCGACTCAAAATGACCTCGAATGACACAAACGACATCAAATTCGAAATCTATGGCCTAAATGGACCATAAAACATGTGTCACGTGACCGACGCATGATATAATATTTCCGTGACCTTTGATGACCTGACCCTGACCTGAAAATCAAAGTATAAGTTTGGTACCCTCAAGGTATCTAGAGCATCTGTTCACGAGTGTGTAAGCCAAAAATGAGCCTGATCTGACTTATAAGACGGCGGCCAGAGCCCAAAATGTGAACAAGCCAAAATGCTAATAATTTTTACTTTGACCTGACCTTTGACGTCATCGGTGACGTCGAGGTCAATGAAATTAGGTTTCGCTCGACAGTTTTTCCGGGGCTATCAGACGCCGTTTGAATTTTGACGATCGGCCCATTAGTTTCGGAGTTAGGAGGGGGGGAGGCTATGGAGAGCCCCCCCCCCCCCCCCAGTAGGGCGTGTTATACGCAGACCCCAGTGGGGCGCGGGTTAAATTGAAGTTTAAAATCCAAGTAATTAGAATTAAGTATGTCGACTACAACGTCCACTTCATCCGCGCCTTTTTATTCGCTGCTTCATTATCACCTAATTTGGCTGATTTCTGCTAATGCGGCTAATTCCGTTTGATCACGGCAGTAGGTAAGGTCGCTTTCATTTCCGGTCTCCCGAGATAATGCGACTAATGACCGACACTGCAGGTAACGAGGCTATTTAATCGGTCAGCCGACCACCCAGTAACTAATACCACACCCGGGCTATCCCAGTCGCCGTGGTGTGACAGCACTCCAGTTGGCCGGGGCTCTCTGACCAGTGACCAGTCAGCTCCGATCACTGATCAAGGGTTGGGAGCTGCTTTCACAGGTCCTTGTAACACTTTCAGCCCCCGCTCAATCTCCCCTGCATGCACTACATCAATGCCTGAGCACTGAGCACTGAGCAGGCCATCCTACCAGGGCGCCGCGCCACGGTCAGGGACCGTACCTGTCGTTCCGCCAGCTGCCGTCAGGTGTCTCTGCTCACCTTCTCCTCGGGACAGTGCGGCGGCAGGGCGGCCAGGGCGGCCTCTGTGCGCGCCAGCCGGCCGGCCAGACCCAGCAGCAGGCTGGTGATGGTAGACACCTGGTCGACGGCGGCGCGGTACCGCTCGGCCTCAGAGGGGCGCGCCAGCTGCTCCACGCGCGCCGCCACGGCCGCGCCCAGCGCCGCGTTGGCCGCCGCCTCCTCCTCCACGGCGCGCTGCTCCTCACGCAGAGCCGCCAGCTGGCGCGCCAGTGACGCCGACAGCTCGCCCTGGGGACGGGGGGGGGGGGTGAGCGGTGACCCTGTCCCTGACAGTCGACAAGGGCCGGTGCTGAGGGTATACTGCCCCACAGCCCAGGGCCAGAACTGGGTACTGTATGCGACACTGTGTGGTCAAAGAAGGAGTAATGCTTTCCTTTCGGTACTTCGTAAGCGGATATGGGCTACTCCACCCTTAGGGAGAACTTAGGGACCTACCTGCCGCTGTCGTATGGCCTCGGCGTTGTCCGGGTCGCTAACTGAAGACTCCGAACCGGATGATCTGAGAACCGGTAAAAACAAATCCACAAGCCGGTCAGTACTGCATTCACAGAAGAGTGCATCGTTGGAACCAATATAAGTCGTGATTCTCTATGTTCATCTGTGATAACCGCGCAAAGATGAACACCACCAACCAAGCCGATCGCCTCTTGTTCTATGCTAAATATAGAGCCACCTCGGCGTCCACCGTGACGGACAGACGCGTCCAGACTGGCCGATCCAGCCAGCGACAACAGTAGAGTGGGCTACTCGGCATGTTGAACGACAGCGTCGTGATGGTTCAATTCCAGCTCAGCCCGCGACTTCGGTCACTGAATTGGTAAGCGCGATACGGAGAGCTGCCTATGCCGTTTAAAATTCAGTCTCAGAGCCCGTGAGGAGTGGGTGACCAGCCGGACAGACGGGGGGTGGACGGGGAACACTCGGCGGTGGATGGCATGATGCAAATCGGGATGCATATCATGATACATGGTGGCATATCGGGACCTGAACGGAGAACAAGCTCGGAACAAGACACAAAAGCTGACCTGACGGTGACCCGGGTGGGTTTGCGACATTAGAGGCCGCCTGTACTCACAGCGCCGTGTCGATGGTCGGATCCACGGGCGCCGTCACGATCAGCGGGATCCTCCGGCCGGTGCCCACCTGGTGTGAAGTCACCGTCAGAGGCAGTGACGTCACGTCGGGCCGCACCAGCCAGGGCAGGTCGGCCGGCGAGACGTCACCCGCGGTACCTGCCACTGACGGCAGGGACGCCGGTCACACGGAGAGCAGACAGCTAATGAGGGAAATGGGAACGACATTAACATGTTCAGGTTTTCTGACGATGAACCTGAAACTGGAGCTCTGCAGCTGTCAGTGAGAGTCCTAACAAAGTGTGCCCAATCCCGCCACTAGACGTCTCATGCGTACCGCTTTGAGGGACTTTGACTCAGAGCGCGGTTCTCCCGCTGCCGAATTCAGCAGCTTCTTCAGTCCAGCCGGCGCATGTTTAACACATTGTGAGAAGCTGCCGCACTTGGTTTGGGTCTGAGTTGAATACCCGGCGCCTTTTTGCGTTGAGTAACGGGAGCTCAAAGTGTCCTTACCGTTCGCTGAGATCCCGCGGTACGCGCAGTGCGAGTCGTGGCTCACCTTTTGCGGCGCCGGAGCCGCGGCGGCGCCAGGTCTCCTGCTGGGCGGCCGTGGCCTCTGGCAGGTGGCGCGGGTTCAGCAGGTCCCTGGCCGTCTGCCGCTCCGACCACGCCAGGCCGGCCGCCACCCGCGAGGCGCGGTGCACCCCGTTGACGGCCGGCGGCGCCGGTGGCCGGGCGTCGGCCTGACCGGCAGAGGCCGGCAGCGAGGGACGCCGGCTGACCCCGGGGCTGGCCGGGCTGACCGACAGCAGGTCGACCGAGCCGCGCCGGCCGCCGGGCCGCGGAGGCGCCGGGCGGGCCGGCGGCGGGGACGGCGCTGGCGGCTGCCCCGCTGACGGCCCGTCGCCGACGGCAGGAGTCGGCCCGGCCTCCTCCGGCGCGTCGCCCGCGTCGCTCTCAGCGGTATCGTCCTCGGGCAGCGCCGTCGGCGGCACGGCGGCGGCGAACACCTCCTCGTCGGCGGCGACGGCCGGCTCCGACTGCCCGCCGGACTCGGCCGGGGGTACCACCTCTATGGAGATGGCGCTGAGCTGACGGCCGCTGCCGATCGAGCCGGCCGAGTGGTGGCGGGGTCTGGTCTCGGGGGTCGGCGGGGGCAGGGTCCGACTGCCGCCGGCTGTCGGCAGGGGCAGGGTCCGACTGCCGCCGGCTGTCGGCAGGGGCAGGGTCCGACTGCCGCCGGCTGTCGGCAGGGGCAGGGTCCGACTGCCGCCGGCTGTCGGCAGGGGCAGGGTCCGACTGCCGCCGGCTGTCGGCAGGGGCAGGGTCCGACTGCCGCCGGGTGACGGCGGGGGCAGGGTCCGACTGCCGCCGGGTGACGGCGGGGGCAGGGTCCGACTGCCGCCGGCTGTCGGCAGGGGCAGCGTGCCCAGACTGCCACTGGGCGACGGCGGACCGGCAGTGGGCGCCGACAGACTGCCGCTCGGAGAGGGCGGCCCGGCTGTCGACTGGCTGTCCGACGCCCACCACTGACTCTCGTCTGAGGAGGGACGGAAGGGGTACGGAATTACAGATAAAAATACCTATTACTAAAGTTCGCGAGGTTCAGCGCGGTTTGTTGTTGAGCTCAAAGCTATGACATGAAAGGTACAAAGCCTATCTCGGCAAATTATTGCTTCGTTCGAATTGCAAATTTCTCCGAACGGTTCCATTAGTCACAAACTGTTCCACTGTGATAATTGCGTACAAGTACCGAGACAAGCGCTGAGTTGCACGACCAACCGATTACTCGGCATCTGGCTGGACACGGTTCAAGGCGAAAATCTGGACAGACATGTGATATCTGACCCTGTTCTTAACAAGTCTGAACCCACCCCTCGTTAAACGCCACATCAAAATCACCTTCTAAGCTGTTAGTTCCCTTATCGGCCAGTCGAGTGCGGCCCAAATGTGAAGCGAGCCGGATCGTTAGCTATCGACGGCGGGTCCGCACAGCGTGCTCTCCGGACAGACTCCAAGGACAAACGAATGAATAAACGTTTGTTTCTACATGACGTAAAGGTCATATCACGAATGATAACTTGTTCTCGTTTCCAACCCGGGCTGGTGCCTCGCCTTGAAATGTCCATACACAACATCCATCAGGGCGCGGCGCAATTAGTCAGTGTCGTGCTGAGCTCCTCGAGCTCGCTGCAGCGTATGCACCACTATTGTTGTTGCACACTGCACCTTTGCTGCAGCATCCTCGACGAGAGCCGACAGAGGGAGAGTGTGCGCCGCGGGACGGAGAGAGGAGAGAGAGACAGAGGGAGGGAGGAGGGGGAGACAGAGGGAGGGAGGAGGGCGTGGTCGACCCACATTCCAGGTCATTCATAGGGAGTGTGTGTGTAAGGGGGGGGGGGGTGCTTGACTGAGGTGGGGACAGTAGAGATGGAGCGATAGCCGGCCAATGGGCAGCGCACGGCGCCAATAAACGCAATCTGCAGCTTACCAGACGGGTGGTTGTCGCCGATTGAAATAATGGCGTGACGGAGACAGAGAGACTCGAACGGCAAGCGCTGCGGGAGGTGAATACGAGCGGGAAAGCGTCCGGATAGCCTCCGCGGTTTCAGTAGCTACGACGAACGTCGATTTATTATCACAAAGTTAACGGCAAAACATCACGTGTTACGGGAGTAAGAATCAAGTGATGCCTAATTCGAAGCAAGCTACGCGGAATGGACCTGATGATTGGATCAGCAGGTGGAGCCACTCATCTGTGTCAGTGGGAGCCGGGTGGAGCCGCTCATCTGTGTCCGTAGGTCCTCTCACCTGTGTCGAAGGGGACCGCTCACCTGTATCCGGGGGTCCGCTCACCTGTGTCCGGGGGTCCGCTCACCTGTGTCAGAGGGACCGCTCACCTGTGTCGGAGGGCGCCGGGTGGAGCCGCTCACCTGTATCAGAGGGCGCCGGGTGGAGCCGCTCACCTGTATCAGAGGGCGCCGGGTGGAGCCGCTCACCTGTGTCGGAGGGCGCCGGGTGGAGCCGCTCACCTGTATCAGAGGGCGCCGGGTGGAGCCGCTCACCTGTATCAGAGGGCGCCGGGTGGAGCCGCTCACCTGTGTCGGAGGGCGCCGGGTGGAGCCGCTCACCTGTGTCGGAGGGCGCCGGGTGGAGCCGCTCACCTGTATCAGAGGGCGCCGGGTGGAGCCGCTCACCTGTATCAGAGGGCGCCGGGTGGAGCCGCTCATCTGTGTCGGAGGGCGCCCAGTGGAGCCGCTCACCTGTGTCGGAGGGCGCCGGCTGGAGCCGCTCACCTGTGTCGGGGGGCGCCGGGTGGAGCCGCTCACCTGTGTCGGAGGGCTCCGGGTGGAGCCGCTCACCTGTGTCGGAGGGCGCCGGGTGGAGCCGCTCACCTGTATCAGAGGGCGCCGGGTGGAGCCGCTCACCTGTGTCGGAGGGCGCCGGGTGGAGCCCCTCGGCGCTGGCCGGGTGCGGCAGCCGCAGCGGCGCCGGCTGAGGGCCCTGCCGGCTGGGCGCGGCGTACGACACGCTGCGCGCGATGGTCGGCGGCGAGAGCGCCACTGGCCAGCTGGGTCGGCGCCGCTCGCCGGCCGGGGACGGCGACTCCGTGCGCCGGTAGCGACCCTCGTGGCCAAGGCCCTGACGCCAGTCACGCCGGTGCGCCATGTACGAGTCCTTGTGGTAAGTCCTACGGAGGAGAGGGAGCGGGAATTAAACAGTCACATCTGGGAGGGCTTGGTACGTAACCGTGATGCTTCTGCTTTGAAACAACGAACACAATTATCAGCTAACAGTCAATTGCAATTGTCCTGCGTCCCGTTCACTCATAAGATGACCGTGGGCCTGATGATGACCGTGGGTTTGATGCCGTTGGTGGAAAGGCAGCAATTATAAAGGAGAATGATTTTACCGTCCTGAGGAAAAAAACGACGAAACTGTGATCTCATTAGAGTGGCATGATGTTCTGTTAAGCTGTGCTGTTTACATTGTTGATCGCTTGCAAGACGAAGATTGATTCATCTTGATCATATAAACAAGGACTCCTGCAGTGTTTGATGTGATCTTGTCCGCATCGATTACGGATTGCGAAATGCATCGCGGTCAAAACACAGGGGCTGAACAGGTTCCAGATCACCCCAGCAGCCGACATCACCTCAATCAGCAGACGAGCGTCCCCTACAGAGTGATTCGAGTGACCCGTTAACAGCACCCCACAACCCCGGGCCTGACACCACCACTCACCAGTGACCCGCGACCCGTCACCGGCACCATCTGTGAGGTGTCCTCGAGTGACCCGGTGACCTGTCGTCTCTGGCATCGGTCCTCACCCCTCTCTGAGAACCTGGCCTGGCCACCCGGCGCCCTGGTCGCTGTCGAGGTCGCTAAATCGCGTCATGTCCAAACACTCGACTGTGCGGCGCCCTCACTAGCGCGGTACAGCGGCCAATCCCGCCTACAGAACCTGGCATGAACCCCAGCCAGTCCGGTCATGTCTCACCCCCGGCCGACCTGGCCGGCTATTTCGGACAACCCGACACCGATCCGGGCTAGGGGCGGACGGACGCTTATTTTGTCCTGGCATAACACTGAACTTCGTTTTGGCCGCTGTACACTACTCCGATGGTATGCTTGGAATGACTTCCACCGGCCAATATACATACATATACATAGTCTTAACGCATTGCTTCCAACAACCAACAGCGTAGCTTCTCAACGTTAGGCATCCAAGAATACCTACTCGTATATGAACCGCCATTATTGACTGAAATGCTAGAATTCCGTGCTCTCGCATTCTACTAAGTTAGTATAAGTAACTTAACTTTGCCGGTGCCCTTTTAAAGCAATTTAGTATTCAACCGTTGTCCATTTTGATTTTTTTGTTTTGTTTTTCTTGCATGAAGAAGCACGCTAGGTACCTACCCATCGGGAAGCCGCAGAATAAAGACTTCACTAGTAACTGCCAATTATTAGTGACAGAGGAGTTCACGTGGGGGAATTGAACACGCCTTCTTATTTGCAATTTAAATGCCATTTCCGCAGACGGCCACCCCGCCGATCCTTCATGTTGCCGGGAAGCGACTCTGCATGCGGCGCCGGACTGGGGGTGCCGATACACGGCGCTGGCTGCAGGGAGGGCAGGCTGCCTCTGATCTGACTGCGGGGTCGGCAGGCTGCCTCTGATCTGACTGCGGGGTCGGCAGGCTGCCTCTGATCTGACTGCGGGGTCGGCAGGCTGCCTCTGATCTGACTGCGGGGTCGGCAGGCTGCCCCTGATCTGGCTGCGGGGTCGGCAGGCTGCCTCCGATCTGGCTGCGGGGCCGGCAGGCTGCCTCTGATCTGACCCGCCCGGGACCGGTGTATATAGGGTGACTGTCAGCGATAGACGGCCAGGGAGACAGGCCGACCGGGCGGCTCACGAGCACTGCCATGTGATGTCCCGCCGAGGCCAGAGAGAGCTGTGAGTCACACATGTCTCAGCAGGACGGGTAATAGCCTATTAACTGGGGCATCTCAAACCATTGTTGAACATTTACAAACTGTGGCTGTTTTGCTCGGCCCGATCCGGGTAGGACGATTAGCCGGCCGGCCGGTAAGAGGACCAGTGCAGAGGTCTGGACCACCCAGACCAGTGGACCGGACCAGAAGGGTCGGGGGGCGGCCGGCCGGAGGGGACGAGCGGCTGGCCGGATCAGAAAGGTCGAGCGGCCGGCCGCAGCAGGGAGCGGCCCGCTCAGCCCGTCCAGTGTCGCCCTGTGTTTATTGACACGGGCCGGGCCGTGCAGGCCGGCCAGCAGTGTACACTGGACACGATACACAGTGACCTTCGAGCGGGCCAGTGGTGTACACGATATGGAGTGACCTCCAGAGCGGGACCGCGCCGACTCCGGTCCGACGCACCGTTCGCCGCCCCGCCGCGCTCTTTTGACGCCCACCGGCCGGCTCAGGTGACCGGATCAGTAAATATTCGGCGCGGTGCGCGATGTCGTCACCATGGGCCCTGGCCGGAGTCTGCCCTGGACCCCCGGGGTTTTAACCACGGGGCTGCGAGAGCTACAGTGCTGGACATGCAGGCTGCGAGTGTGGCCAGACATCTGTCCAGGCCTGAGACGACAGACTCGCGGTAAATGACGCCGTGGCGCCGGCGATGGAATGTTGATGACGGGCAGAGGCGACCGGGCACGCCTGCAACAATATTGACTGTTTACCACTGGGCTGGTGGGACGGCGATCCGTCTGGATCCCATCTAGTGGCGCGACCTCTCCCCTGCACCAGTCCCTGGGATGATGAAAGGCCGCCGGGGACTGAGGCTGCAACCGGCCGCAGTGGCAGCCTCAGTAAACTAACTACGCAAATGTCTCGGTGATGATGGCAATGAGCATACCTAAAGAGCAGCGAATCTGTGGTACCGTCAGTTTTCTGTCTAGTCAGTAAATTTCACCGCCAAGTAGGGGAGACCCGGGAGGTATGGGCCCCCTGGAGGTATGGGCCATCGCCGTTTTGAAGAAGTTTAGCGTATTGTTTGCAATCTGACCGCTTAATCTGGTAGCAGCCATTTCGTTATACAACCCACGTGATTTCCGAAATCTTCCTCAGTCTCCTTTGGCAATGGGCGGTGATAATGCGTTTTTGCCCTCCTCAAGTAAAATCCGGTATATACAGAAAATTCGTGATTTATGTGAACCAGGTTTGTTTTATAATGTCACACCATCGCTAACATAAAGTTCAAAGCATGCAAATTAAGACTGGGTTGTCTATATGAAACTTGTTTGCAAGATTATAAGCTGAGATGCTGCGCACATTTTGGCGTCCTAACCGGGAGGTTCGGGCCACTCATCCCCGGGAGGTTCGGGCCGGCCCATACCTCCCGGTTCAGCTCTGCCATGGGACAAGGGCTATCAAATGAATATTTAAACGTGTAACAATTTGATTGAATTCCTCAGTGATGACAGAATGTGCAGGAATTTTGCACCTTTGCATCAATTATGCAGCATGATTGATGCACAAGAACATGTTTGTGTAGCCGGGTGTTCGAGCTCCTCCCTACCCCTCCCCTTCCTCGCCGCCAGGCGGGTCGGCCGTTCGCGGCCCGCCGCTCGCCTGCTGCCGGCCGGTCAGTCAGCTGACCGCCCGCGGCTGCCGGTGCTGTGCGGGTTGCCTACCTGCGAGGGGCCGTCCGGCTCCGTGCAGCGCCGGCCGGGATGGGCATTGGACAGTGAGAGTTGGTCGGTGACCTGCGCTAGTCTCCCGTTAGTTTCTGAGGAAGGGTGATGTGAGCTTAGCGGAGATTGTGTTGTATCGGCATTCCCCAATAATTTACCTTCACAGTGGGTGTCAGACTGTCAGTGTCATGCCGCAGACATGGCAGCGAACGACGACGAAGGGGTCGTTTTCAAACTCGGATCTCCAGACGGCGATCGAGCGCATCCGGAGAAAGGAGATCAGCATTCGGGAAGCTTCCCGAACGTACAACATCGGACGGCAGACTCTCGACCGGTACCTCCAGGCCACACCGGAGGGAGAACAGGCTAAGAAGGTGTCGAAGACCTTCTCTAACACGGTCTTCAGCCAAGACGAAGAAAAGAGCCTGTTCGACTACGCGGAAAAGAGTGCGGCCATGCACTTCGGCCTCACCAGTAAGGCCTTGGCCGAGCTCGCCTACGACTACGCTAAGAAGCTGGGAAAGAAGCTTCCCAGCGGCTGGGAGGTTAACAAGGCTGCTGGCGAGGAGTGGTGCTTCGCTTTCCGGAGAAGAAGCGGACTCTCCCTCCGGACTCCAGAAAACACGAGCATTGCTCGGTCTCAAGCATTCAACCCAACCAACGTTCAGCGCTTCCATGAGGCCCTCTCCGCTGCACTCCTCGAGCACGATTTCGGCCCTTGCTCAGTCTGGAACCTCGACGAGACAGGAATCACAACTGTCACGAAGGCGCCCAAGCTGCTCAGCCCGACCGGAACCCGTCAGGTAGGAGCCGTTGCAAGCGCTGAGCGGGGAGTTCTCATCACCGTGTGCGCTTGCGTCAGCGCTGCGGGCCGAGCGCTCCCCCCGGTGCTGCTGTATCCGCGAAAACGAGTGCAGCCTCACTGGGCGACCGACGCTCCACCGGGATCACTCATCCTCGCGAACGACTCGGGCTGGATGGACAAGGAGACGTTCCCTAAGGCGCTTTCACACTTCATCAGCCACATGGGCGCCACGGAGCAGAACCCGCAGCTCCTCGTATTCGACAATCACTGCTCCCATGTCACCCTCCAGGTCATCAACATCGCCCGGGGGCACGGGGTTGTGATTGTGACGCTGCCGGCGCACTGCAGCCACCGAATGCAACCTCTCGATGTGTCGGTGATGGCGCCGTTCAAGACATTCTACTCTGAGGAAATAAACGCCTGGCACCACCGCAACCCAGGCCGGACAATTTCAATCCACGACCTCGCCGCCCCGGTCAACAAGGCCTTCACCCGCGCCTTCTCCATGGTAAACATCATGGCGGGATTCGCAAAGTCCAGCGTCTGGCCTCCGAACCCGACGGGCTTCACCGACGCGGACTTTTTGGCTGCTCTCCCGTCCCCTGCCCCTGCTCCCACGGGGGAGACATCGAACACGGAGAGAGCGGCCCCGTGGTCGGCCGAGCCAGGACCGTCGACGCCGATGGCAGTGACGCCACAAGAGATTCGCCCGTTCCCCGTTGC